GTGATCTTGTCTACTATGATAACACAAGCTTACTCTGATGTGTTCTGATAGGACCTTCTGTTGCATTCAGCTCGAAACTTTGTAGCAGCTCGTTCGTGTTGCGGGGCTGTTGTCGACAATGATGCCCCATGTGCCCTTGATAGTGGGAGACTGTTAGTGCATGTGGTTCCATTCAGCTTCGTGGCTTCTTTGGAAAACAGCTGGCATTTTCGAGTTATTTAATGGGTACATGTGTTGATGATGAATGTGTTGTCTAGGGCTCGGCATGGGCATGAACAGTCCAGCGATTGCATCACCTGACAATGTTGTCGTTTGGAGGACTTGGCGGTTTAATGGGGCTGAGTAATGGACGGATAATGTGGTGAATTGTGCTAGGAAATAACAGGAGAATAAAGACATGGCGTTCCTCAGCCCTACCGCTGGAGATCTACTAATGTTTCAAGAAGGACTGATAGCATGTAACCGTCTCGACAATGTGTTCTGGACCTGTTACGAAATATGTAGATCCGACTGCAAATAGATTGTGATTACCCATACCCACTGGGTAGTTAAAGCACATGTTGAATATTCGAGTTCACACCCGGTAGGCCAGTGTTGTAGTGACCACTGTTCACTACGTTCATGGTTCTTCATACCTGCCTACCGGAACTCCATGCTAATATCGCAAAGCACGTAGTACACGGGAGGATGTCTTTTCCATCTCGTCTCTCTTAAAGATGTTAACAAAAACATAAAAACAATGAATGAGATAATTAAACCAATGAAGCCAATTAATGACAGACACAGATATTACCACAGACGCAAGAAACAGATTGGAAAGCCGTTATATAGGGTAACCAACGTCAGGGTATATCTAATCACATATCAGGAAATGACTTCCAAGGTCCAAAGTATTGGGTCAAGCTAATAAAAAAACCCGAGTCGCCCTAGGGCAGCAGATCCATATCGAAGATTCCCGCCGCTGGGATCTATCGTAACGGCCGCCATACGTCAGAATCACAGCAAAATTACTATATATGGACGTATGCCAACCAACATACTCAATGAAGAGCTGGTTAAGGCTTGTCACATAGGAGACAGACAACCTCCAACATTGAATGCAAGGCATAGGAGGCCATTAGATCACGCTGCACACCAATGTCGATCATATGTAAACAGTCCATCAGGATCTCGATTGTCACGCAATTGTCGATCGCGTTGTGAGACGGAATACTGTAAGGGCGGTCAGTAGATTCATTTCTCAGACGGACCGACACGGCAGAGGGTGATGACGGATCATTTGTTCCATAGCTGTGTAGCTCGCAGCTGTAGAATTACTAGAGAATTGACAATTCGCAATGCTATGTTGATCTAAATGAAGGCCTTGAGAGTTGGTTAAGCAGGAGATGTTGTTGTGTTACTGAAATGGTTGGTGCTTGGCTCGGCCGAGTCCACTTAAACGTCATGTTAAGGACATGGGGTATCAAATTAGAGTTGTGGAAGCGGCTCTGCTGCGTGCCTGGAGTTCCCAACCTCAACCTTGACCGAAATTTTGGTTGGAGCTACAGATCCATTCGAGATCCATGGATATCAATGGCCTAAATTCAAGTTTCCGAAATGACGGGTTTGTCCTGGTTATTTGCAACACACATTTAAGTGAACTCATCGGTGCGTTTGCGTCATAACTCAACACTTGCGGGTCTTTTCCTGGCCCTTGCATGGGAAAGCCGATTAATTGCATGGAAGCCATAAGAGCATCTAGAGCATCCCCATTGTCTATGGATACGCCAAGTCTGTATCTTCGTCGAACTGCTACTTATCGCAGGCTAGTAGAGAACGAGAAGCAAGTCCATGCTGCTCTGATCCCGCGTTCCCCTGGGCCCCAGACAGGCGCTTCGGCGCCAGTGCTAACTTATGGAGACCGCTGGAACTATGGTGTTTGGGACGGTGGAAAAGCTTGGAAATGGACGTCGAGAAATGCAAGGTAGTACCCAGGCGCCAGGCTTCAACGGAACGTAGGTCTTAGAACGACCAACCTCGAAAAGGGTGGGAGGAAGGTCAAGTGAAACTGAACGGTAACGGAGGCTTAGGAAGCGTTCCTGAACATGTTCAACAGGTTGGCCTTACTGTGGGTGAGAAGAGGAGAATATAAGAAAATATCTACCAGAGGAGTGCACTGTTGTCAAATAAGAATATGGAGAAGGCTATAGAAGTATGTAAGTGCTCCAACTTGTTATCGAAACATATATCCTGTGCTTACTGTTTTGCATCTATTTGTTGACTTTGATGCGTACATGAATTCAATTAATATTGATACAATTAATAACGGTGACAGACAGAAACGAAGCCGTTGAGCACCTGATAAGTCCCATGTCTCAACTGTGAATGGTCGAAAGAGCTGACGTCATGAGCAAGTCATATGGCGCCTCAATAACTGCTGTACGAGTTACTGACACAGTGTTTTGTCCTCGAGCATGTCTGCCTTCAAGGTGACACTGTGTATCTTCCCCTCCGTACGCCAGGTTTTGCATGATTGGATTTCCTATCACGCCTGCTATTGTCCCATTGAAGGCCTATCATCGGCCGAGTGCTCACGTACCTCCTCGCAAAAATGCCGAAGGCACTTCTTGCATATCCCCGAAAACTCGAACGCCATCAGAGTTTATCATGATCCGAGAATATCAATGGACAGTCTCAACAGACGACTTCACAGGACAACGCACACTCGTGCGTGAACACAATGCGATATTGCTTGTGAATGGCCAGGGTGGACTGAGGACCCAACCCAGTCCAGGGGGTCATGCCATTAGCGTGCAGCCTTGATTTCTAAGGTGGAACTCGCCTGGTGAAAGATACAGTATCAAATCCAAATGTCAAAGTTCTTGCGAATCCGCCCCTGGCAAAGAAAGGGGCTTGAGGACGGATGAAAGAAAATGATCCCGTAAGTTGGGTGCTGATTGAGATAGACAAGGACATGAACAAGAGTCGGTCTGGTCAAAAGACGCTTGCAACAAGCCGTCAACAGGTTCTCCAGGCTCAAGACAGTCCGTCCTCTTCGCGAGTTAGGTGTGTGTTCTAGAGTTCAGGGGGTGTGTTGCAACCAACGTCGATCCCTCAACGACGCCTCCGACTTATAAATCCATGAAGACCGTGAGGGGTTTTGAAGTACACATAAGGTAGAATGTTGCAGAATTGATAGAGATTCGTGGGGTCAGTACCAGCCACGAGCAAAGAGCCTGATACAGAAACGTGACTTTGAACCTTCGTTTCCAGAATGAAGGTCAGACAAGGGGCGGGAGCGTGCCCCAGACTGGAACCTAGAGTTCCAAGAGCACGGAGCTTTTCAACCAGCAACATGGGCCTCAAGCTTGGCTCTTGGTATCCAATCTCAGTCTAAATCTAACAAATCTAAAATCTCAATCAAGATTGAGACAGTATTCGGGTTTAGTCAGGGAACTGAAAACGGATCCAGTCGCGAGATTTCCAAGATTGAGGGTGGTGAAGGAATTATTGCTGTTGTCAAGATGAGCTTGACGAGACCACTCCTTGCGTCATCATAGCAAAATGCGCCAATTGGATTGAATGAGGTGGGAATGACGGTGGTGCTCCGGTCCAAGTATCCACTTGTTTTACTGGCTCCTGCTGGAAATGGGGTGTGGAGACAGAAAAAATGCTAGCACGTTTTGCACCCGCACAGTGTTAGAAACTGAACATCTCATTTCATGATTTTGGACCTATCCTTGGAAAAAGTATGTAACCAATTATGACTTCCAACGTTGAGTCTATTTTGAACGATTGTTTCGCAGTCATTTCCAAGCCATGATAGATAATAAAGACGATTTACCTGTAGAATACCATTATACCTTATGGCTTAACCACATGACACGGAGAGAGCTCGGCGGCATTAAGCTGTAATCACCGATTCGTGGGATGATGCTCGCCCATCACGATCGACTCTCTCTTATTCTGGCGTCCTTCTATGACACTTCTGTTTACAGATTGATGCCGGGGTTTCTAATCAGTGAAACGTTGTCCCCTGGGCCCCAACTTAGCTTACCTTGCAACTCAACAAGTGATTCGCCCAAAATACACGCGTCTGGTTGGTTCCCCGGACCTTTTTGGAGGGGAGGATCGAACGATGCAATCAAATACAGTGCCTACAGTGTGGGAGCCGGGATGCCTACATTAGTACCTTAGGGTGTATCCAGTAGCCAGGCGCGAGGCCAGTGCCTGTCGGTTTTGTCAGCCGGCCTAGCGTCCCCCTCAGTCAAGTCCTTTCCCTTATTTTTTCGCCCCCCCAGGCCTTCTCAAGTCGCTTTCAGGAGCCCAGCCGCCGCCGTCTCTTTTTTTTCTGCGCCTTCTTTTCCTCGTTGCCCACAACGTCATCTCTGACGTCTTTTCTCAATCTAATCCTTTCACAATCCTCGTCCATCGACGCAATCCCGCAAGCATAGCAACACCCGCTTTGTCGCTCTTCGAGATACGGCGCAAATCTATCGTATCCTTTTTTTTTTTTGCTTCGACAGGCACGAGCCTCAACTCCACCACGAACGCCTTTCGCGCCTGTTTTTCCTTATCCCCTTTCTTAACCAATCTTTCGCTTAGTACATCGTTTGTCTCTGTCTACAGAAGAGACACGCGCGCGCCGCTCTTCCGCTTCTGCTTCGTTGACGTCGAGTGTCGAGTATAAGCAAATTTCCCTTTCACATCCACGCTCGAGCTTTTAGGACGCATTCCCTTGGTTGGAGAAGTTTCAGAGCGTATGCTGTGCGCTGTCTGCGCTATTGACTCGTCGAAAAGCGGCCATCGCCCCTGGTCCAACTCTTAAAACCGTGCCGTCCTATAGTAGAGTCTCAGACAGCTGCCGCGCTGCTTTTCTGTTCTTCCTCGCCTCTGACCTCATTTGACTTTTTCGTCTTCCTCCATCTTTGCTACTCTACTGCCACCCACCCCACACGTCCAATCCAACCAGCACTGTTCAACCTTGCCGCCAGCCCCAGATATAATACATCATCGTCATCATGGGGACTACAACTGAAGCCTCTGCTGGAGGTGAGTCGAAGTCCCCCAAGCAATCCAACAGCTCTCCTGCTCAACCTGGTATGTTCTTGACTTTCCCCTCTTTGATCCTCTTGTTCATCACAGCGTCGACTTTACACATACATATCTTCTGCCTTACCCTATCCTGTTGCAATGACGTATACTCGTCATTGGCATTGAGCATCCCTACTCTATCTTCATCTCTGTCCACTTCCGTCATCGCTTTCCTTCTCCGTCTTTTGTCCTCCGTCATCGTCAAACCAAGGCCCCTTGCTTTGATTGACTGCAACGCCTGCTTACATCTTGCCTTGTCGCAGAAACCACGACCGACACGAAGGCAGCCGATCCTACCGTGAAATTAGAGGCTGCCAATGCCGAACAAGCCAAACCTCTTGCCCCTCCTCCTCGACCCGGTCAACAACAAGGCAACACCCCCGACTACTTCGCGGTTCAGGCCGGCGGATCTCTCAGTCTGGAGCCCAATCCATTCGAGCAGTCCTTCGGGGGCGCTCCAGAGACACCTGGGGGAACAAAATTACCTTCAGTTGCTGCATTGACATCACCGTCCTCTCTTCTGCCTGGTAGTAACGCGACACCATTCAATTGGGGAGGAGGTTCTTTACGTACTGGCCCTTTGAGTCCGGCAATGCTTTCTGGTCCGGCTAATGATTATTTTGGCGATACACATCATCTTCGCGGCGGATTTCCTACTCCTAACGAATCCTCCTTGAGGACGGGTTTGACACCAGGTGGCAGTGGTTCTATGTTCCCTGCCCCCAGTCCTAACTCCCAAGCACTCTTCGCTCAGCTTGCTAGCGGTGGAGCAACACCCAGCACCCTCGATTTCCATCGCACTGCTATGAGTGCTGCGGCTAAACGTGATCAAAACGGCGCTGCTCCACGGTCTCAAGCACAGCAAGCTTCCCAAGCACAGCAATCCCAACAACCTTCTGTCACTTCCCAACCCCAAGAAATGCCCAACGGTGCTTCAAACAATAAGTCCGAAGCGAAGCCAGCGTCCGGGCCCTTCGACCCTCACGATAACGACGCTGCAAACGGCCTTTTTATGTTGGCCCAGGGTCGAAACGGAGCTCAAAACGCGAACCAATTCGCTGTGACGTCAGGTGCTCCTGGTCACGCTCATCCTGCCCCTGTCGCGCCTCAGAACATGAATACTTCACCACAAATGTCAAGTGTTAACGGCGGCTCTATTGGCTCCGCTCGTGGTATGAGTGAGGGAAGCATGATGTCGGATGAGAGTGAACAGGCACGACCTAATACCCGTGGCCGTGGCAAAAAGAACCCCCCTGCGGTGAATGGCCGAAGGAAAGCGGACGAACCTCCCTCCAAGGCTCCTGCTAATAAGAAGTCCAAGACTAACAATTCCATGTCTATGGATATGGATATGTCTGATGACGAATCCAAAATGAAGTATGAAGATGGTGGTTCCAAGTCCAAGATGACCGACGAGGAGAAACGCAAGAACTTCCTTGAACGCAATCGGTATGTATATGACAGTATCAATTATTACTCGTGTCACTAATTGCTTTACAGTGTCGCTGCTCTTAAATGTCGCCAGAGAAAGAAGCAGTGGTTGGCCAATCTGCAGACCAAGGTCGAAATGTTCAGTACTGAGAATGACGCCTTGACGGCGCAGATAACCCAGCTCAGAGAGGAAGTCGTCAACTTGAAGACACTTCTTCTTGCCCACAAGGACTGCCCAGTCACTCAGCAGCAAGGAATACACGGTGCTTTTATGTCCCAGGTTGTTGAGCCTTACAACCCTCAGATTAACCCTTATGGCATGGCAGCACCTATGCCAAACCAGCAAGTTATGGCTGGCCAGGGTGTCCAGCGGCGTTTCTCATAGAACGAGTTACAGCCCCAGTTAGGACCGTTTGTCAAGGTTGAGCAAAACCACGCTTCTCCATCGAACCATATAATGCATGGACTTGACGACCCTTTCTTTCCTCAATCACAACACCATTCGACCTCACCGAGGTAATTATTTATTATATGCATATACAAGGTTTAGGTTATTGCACTGGAAGCCTACCGGCTCACAACTTCATTTCACATTTGAGCTGTACAACATTTGATCGGAGGCAACATAGCATCCAGACGGAGGCGATGTCTGAGACCAGGAGTTTGTCGAGCTTCACTTGGAGATCACTTGACGCTCTTGTTTTGCGCGAGGACGCCGCTCTCTCTTGAGTGTTTCTTACTAGAGGCAGCGCCGTTTCAACTTTTAACTTGTACGTAAAGTATTTCCCAGCAAGGTACACGGAACGTGCAGTTCAAAAAGGTGTTTGGCCAGGTTGACCTTTTTGCCAACTTGGGTGGGGGGCGTTTTGGGGAATTCGGCTCCTGGAGATCAAATTCTTTGGTGTTATGGTTTTGTGATTTTGTACGTAGCTGCAAGCAACACAAGCTGCGATTGAAACGAACGATAGTTGCACTTTGAAACACGAAGAGTATATATTATGTCTTTTTTTACCGGTGATTTGACAGTGTTTGTTTTTACGTGTACCTTAGATGGCAGCATCACTTAATCAAAGCTATACATTTACCTAGTTTCTATAAGCCAATTGGGTTGCGGACGACTTTCATTGAAGATGCTGTTAGTAGTAGCGCATGCCATTTTTGACATATCTATTCATCCAGATTTCAAACATTGAGCCAGCTTCATAATTCATGGCTGTCGAAAGTCGTCGTTCGAGTTGGCATTGACGTTGTTTGAATTTGGGCTCCACTAGCTAGCTCATGGTGAACCTCTAGGCAAGAGCGAGTTCAAGGTGGGGTCAGGTAGCAGTCCAATTGGGTTTAGCGTTGAACAGGCAAATCATCTCTCATGTAAACAAGGCGATGCGATTAAACAGTCACACCAACGTCGCGAACCGCACATCTCCATCTATGAAGCCATAAACTGACCAAGCCGTCACGAATTGCGTTGCGATAGCACTTGAGCGTTTTATACAACATTTTTAAGCAGCCAGTACACGTGAATCGCGACGCGACGCGCCTCTTTGACCCTGCGCGACAGTTTCAGCACCTCCACCAGTACCGCACCGCACCGACAACTCCCCAGCATCACGACCCCAGAATAAAAAAATCGCATCGTCAACGGTCCCGAATGCGCCACCCATGACGACTCTGGTGACGACTCGGCGGCCGCTTCAAGTAATTAGCATGAGCAACGAGCACGGGCGACGATTGAGCAAGCGTCTCGCTGGTAAGTCAATTGATGACGACGGCGATGAAATCAAGAAGGGACGACGCGCTGACCGCCAAAATGCAGCGGCGGCGACAGATTATGAGCACGACGATGATTTCGCATTTGTTCGAAAATCGAAACGAGTTAAGACGGATAAGTCAGATGAATCAAACGCAGAACCAGTGCCAGAGCCAAAGGCGGAGCCGGTGAAGAAAAATGCGAAGGGACGACCTCCGAAGCAACGCGCTGCTAAGGCGCCGACAACAAATGGAACCATTGCGGAGGAGGAGCCTACAGAGATAGAGACGAACGCAACGACAAAACCTGCGACAAGGAAGAGTAGTAGACGAAAAGCGAGTGTTGACGCGTCGGATGAGCGACAAATTAATGTTCCTAAAAGACCATCGACTAGGAGAAGCACACGAAGGTCGGGGGATACAAAGGATGAAGTCGTTCCTCAAGCAGCCTCAGCACCAGAACCCGATCCCGGGCCCCAACCAGAGGCAGTACCTGAACCGGTACCAGCTCCCCGTGTCAATGGAGCATCTAAGAAACGGGGGACCCGTGCAAAGTCTACTCGACCGCCTCCGGACTGGGACAAGTCGCCGCAACGCGAACTGCCCGCGCAGTCGGCCACGATCGCTCTGCCAATGAGCGACACGCCCATTATCAACCGGAATAAAGAGATGCGAAAAAAGGGGGGCAATTCTAACAGGCGGAGCAGCCTTGGTAACCGTGGAAGAAGAGCGAGCTCTTTGATCGAGAGTGGACAAACAGCAATACCTCATCGAGAGGTCAACCCGGCGGATTTCTATAAACACATTGAAGCCGAAGGCTTGACAGAACCTCGACGTATGAAGCAATTGTTAACATGGTGTGGCGAGCGCGCCCTGTCAGGGAAGCCCCCTCATGGCACACCGAATTCTAATGCCATTCTCGGTGGTGAGTGCCATTTTCAGATAACACATTGTTCTTGAATACTGACTACAAATAGCTCGTGCCATTCAGGACCAACTACTAAAAGACTTTGCGGCTCGATCTGAATTCTCGGACTGGTTTAGTCGAGAGGACGACACCCCTAAAGCTCCTGTTGTGTTGAAGCCCAATCCTAGAAACATCGAGTTGGACGAGAAATTGGCTCAGCTGGAAATCAACATTAAGAGGTATGTCTATTGAAATAATTGACTGGACTCCGGACTAACCTCGTTCATAGATTACAAGATGAAAAGAGGGCGTGGCAAGCAATACGAAAACCTCCGCCGGAACAACCACCTCTTTTTTCCGAGGATGAGACCGGATCTATTGTTCTGCCCGATTTTGATCTCTTAGACTCAGATGAAGGCAAAATCCGAGGCTTTCTTGCAGATGAGAAAGCCTCATTCGATGCTGTTCGGTCACAGGCAGAATCAAGGTTACGCAGTATCCAGTCATCACTCGAGTTCCAAATTGACGAGCTTGCCGATAATGTTCACAAGCTCGAGCAGCGGGTTCTGGTTGCGGGCAAAGAAGCGGACAAGGTCCTCAGTGTGAGCGCGCTTCGTCTTCGACAACGTGAGGAGCGAGAGAAAGCGAGCGCAGGAACCAGGGACATGCCGGTCATTGAAGTTCTAAGGAGTCTAGGGAATATTCTGCCGGAAGGAGGCGGGTGACGGAGCAAAACCTTGGATTTGGAACGAACGGGCTTGATACCCTCTGTTTTTATTCATGGCCCCCTTTTTTCTTCAGCCTATGACATTGACGATGAGACGATACAAGACAAGATTATGCGCCCCCTTCTCCTTTCGAGCCCGCTTCTTCATTTCTGCTGCTTTTTTGTCATGGCCTACGAACAATTCCTGAGCCGTATTTGATTGTTGTTTGGTGGTTTTCTTTCTTTGCATTTGTTCTAGGGCTGAGGTCACAAGTCGATATCCTACGGAGTTTGCGAATCAGGTTCGAGGCATGAGGAGTCTGGAAGGGTTGGTTATATGTGTTTTATCAGTTGCCAATATGCAGAAGAGACTTCACACATGGTGCAGCAGGTGGAAAATTCACTCGAATCCACATGAATCCACACACTGCTCATTTCGTCCCCTAGGTGTATTCAGTGCTCCTCTAACTGACATGGACGTTCTATCTTGATATTCAGAATTCTAGACCCCATGGCCGTGATAATACATGATGCTAGGCGTATAGTACAATGACTTTGCGTGACCTTTTTCAAAAGCAATTTCCGACAAATTCCTCCTACGCGTCCCATTTAAATTCTAGTTCTTGAGCTCGGGAGGCTCAAGGGGAGGCATAAAACCCATACCACCACCCTCACCACCATCAACACTCCGGCTTCTCACATGAGCCCTCAACTTCTCAAGAATTTCACTGTCCTTCCAGCGCGCAGGCACGGGCCTGTAGGCGGGCTTAAAGTTGCCCACAGTCTGCGCCCATTCGCCTGAAGGAGGATGTCGGGTAATCTGATCGCTCTCAGGCTTTGCGTCGATGTCAGTGGTAGATGGTGACTGGGCGGACGAAGGGTTCGTCGTGGACAGTTGCTCCTTTTGCGTGGCCCAGTAGTAAATATCCCAGTCGTTCTCGTCGAGGAGTAAGTCATACTGGTCGAGAAGTTCCGGGGACAGGGTGGGAAGATGGGCGGCTGCGAAGGTGGATAGAAGAAGATCAGACTCCAAGGTGCCTCGCTTTCGGGACTGGTCTATTGAACGGAATCATTAGTAGTTCTTTTGATCAACGAAAAGTTGAAAACGTACAGACGAGGCGAGCCCGCTTGGTAGAGTCATCCTCGCCCACCCGGCGTAGAGGCTCGACTCTGAACTTGGCACCCTGAAGTTCGCCCACCTTGAGCTCTGAGGACGAGACATTGTCGGATCGCCGTGAGGCTGTTGTGGTGAGGGGTCTAACGGGCATGGAGATAATGCGGCGTACGGCGGCTGGGCGCATAGTGCGCGAAATGAGAGAGGCCATGGTGGCTTTTTCTTGAGGGAGTTTTGTCGGGCGATCGAGATATAGCAGAGTGATGTTGTCTTGTGAAGTCGAAAAAAGACCAGCACTCGGGAGAATAGTGGCAAATAAGAAGCGCTTGTCGTTGACGTCGAGATTCCGAGACTTTCAAGAGCCGAGGCCGAATAATAATTTCCAAGCCGGAGCGGGTGGGTCCGGGGGAGGCGTCTCATGCGACAGGGTTCTATATATGACCCTGGGGAGTTAGAAAACTTCAGACGTTAAGCTAGGGTGCCAAAATTAACTGTTCTAAAGGCTTTGCTTAGATATACCAAACTTGCCTAAGTATCTTCGTCACTTAGGATCTCTATCCTAAGTTTTCTTGCCTCCCATAGATAACTTACACAGGGAATAACTTTATGAAGAAATGATTAAGAAGAATTTTTACGGCAATAGGGCGTCTTGACACATACACAGACAGACGTGACTCCATTTTATTCGTAAATCTTGTTATCTTGCTTCCTCCAACGAAGGAAACCCAACTCTCCTGGGCACGACGTCTAGGCCGACTTCTCCGCAGTACGGTCAGGCAACTCAGTAGTCTTCTTCTCGTTATTCTCCTTCTTCTTTTCCTCCTTTGGTTTGGGTTCTTTAGGCTTGGGGTTTGGGTTTCCACCCCACTGAAGTCTTCGAGGTTTCATGTACGACTCAAGGACCTCGTCAGTGACAGCCTTTCTTCGATCTTGAAAGGTCTGTACAACAGGCTGAAGAGCCTCAATTGCCATCTTCTTCAACTCGCCAGTGAGAAGAGCGCCGCTCTTGTAGTCGTCGTAGATCTTCTGAAGCTTCTCATCATCGTCCTCAAAGTAAGTGAGGTAGATGTAGGCCACATCAACATCGGGGTTTCCCCCCTTCTCGCGATGCTCCTCAAGCGTCTCACGGCCACCACTGAAGGCAAACTTATTGATCTTATTCTGTAGTAAATGAGTTTAGCTGCTGCCCATCAATTGTATTACACACGGCCTTACCTTGATCTGCTTAGCTGTATCAGTCATGAAAATCGCCGAGTTTGGGTTCGAGGATGACATTTTGCCACCAGCACCCTGCAGGGCAGTGAGAAACTTGGAGTGAATCAAGGCAGGCTTTGGCGAAGGGTTCTTCATGCGGTGGGCATTGTCACGGACGAGCCGGAAATAAGGGTCCTGGTCGATACCCATGGGAATGAGACATTGGATCTTGCCCAGTTGCTTGGTTCGAACGGGAGAAGGCTCGTCAGACCAAATCTCGGGGTAGGATGTAGCGAAAGCAGCGACACATTGCACTGAAGGAAAGAAGATCTTGCCGATGTTGGTGCTGTGTTCATTTAGTGATGTGGTAAGTTGATACGTGGACAATTCGACCTACCTCTCGTTGAAGCCAAAGGCTCCACGGACCTGGTTGAAAGTAACCAACTTGGAAAACTCCCAGGCGTTCATGAGGAAGTGATTGCTCAAGTACTTGAGATCACTGTAGAGAAAGGTCTTCTTAGCATCAAAGCCAAGCGCAATGATATCTCTAGCGTTCTCCATAGCGTATGCCAGGGTGTCCTCGAATGTCAAGCTGTCCTTGAACAAAGCCTTCTCATCATCCGTCAACATGAAAACCAAGGGCACGTCAAAGACATCCTGCAGCCACTTTGTGAACTCGAGCGGGATCGTGTGGCCAAGGTGAAGACTGCCAGTACTGGGTCCTCGGCCAGTGTAGAGGAAGAAGGGCTCGCCGTGCTCGTACTTTGTTAGGATCTTGTCGAAGTCGCGATGGCTGAAAAAGAGGCCGCGTCGAAGCCAGCGATGAGGCTTCTTGCCGGTCACCTGTTCGAATCGCTCGAGAAGCGCATGGTCGATCTTTGAGGTCTTCCACTTCCTTTTTGCAAACTGTTAGTCACATCATGCTCAAGTCTATTGGGGTAGCGCGTACGAGCAGATGGCGTCGTAGTCGATGGCAGCAACTTCACCATTCTCGCCCTGAGCTCCCTCGACGGACCAAGGATTAATATCCTGGTCCTGAACGGCGGTTTTGGGGGGGTTGAGGTCCGCCATATTGTCCAAATTCGACTTTGTTTTCCTTGTCCAGTTGAGGCACCGCGGGGTCTTCCAAGTGACAGTGGCAAGAGTGGGTATGGAGGGGCAGCGTGGGCTGGGCTTCAGCACCTTCCCAAGTTGAGTCAGAGCTGGGATAAGTGACAGCGCACCAATCAGAATGGTGCCCCAAGGACCCTAGACAGGTATCTCGGAATACACGTCGCATATAAACATCGATATCCTTCCTATGGCTAATGGAATAGCCATTTTTGTTGTTTTGAGACTTGAAGATTGGATGGATCTGAGAAGATAAGAAGAGGGTTTGGTCTTCTGTCACAGTCACTGAAGGAAATGCCCTTATATAACTGTGGAAAACAAGGTTGGTCTTTAGAAAAGTATATATTTCTTTTGGTTTATCTATTGAAGATATCTATTGGCCACAGGCGAAGTGTATATCCCCTGAAGTGTTTGAAAAATGAGGTGCTATTTTTTATTTGTTGCCTATCTCACAGAGAGTTATTGAAAGGGCTAAAACCAAACTCTGAGTGCAGAAGGCAAGCAATGCCTTCTGTTGTGTTATCTGATTGGATGAAAATAATGCTCTGCCTGGCAAGAGAATCACTGTGTTACATATGATTGGACCACCTACCTTAGGTAGCTAGGTAGTTAGTCGCGTGCATTTTCAACAGGCTCAACACCTCATGTATATACGTAAAATTATTGCTCTTTCCATGACTTTTGTTACACTTAGCTCTTCAAGACACAAAGACCCTAAACCGCCAAGGCCCAATCCTACATGCTACGGATTCCTAACACAAGCATGCCCGGAAACCACTAACATGGCCAAACGAAATCAAGATGGAGGGTCACAGTCACGTAGGTAGCTCCAACGCCCTTTTATAGGTCTTCAGGACCCGAATGCCCGACTGTTCGAGGCTCGAAGGAGGTTCCCGACCCGATAGACGACACACATGCAAAACCAGTCTCTTAAATAAGATGCTTGGATCGGAAGTAGGCACGGAGATACATGATCTGCCAGGCCCAGAGACCAATAAGCAACCAGGTGGTGGCGATACCGAACCACTTAACACGGTTGTTGGTGCTCTCGTTGGTGTCTCGAAGTTTTTGCTCTCGGGAGCGGAGGTACTCCATCTCGGTGACAAGCTCACCAGTGATTTCCTCGATGCGGCGGAGCTCAGCCTCAACAGGCTTGAGCTTCTCGGTGGCCTGGATGGCGGACCAGTCCTTGGCGTCGGCGCCAATGTCGATGTCGAGTTCAACATGGCGGGTAGGGTTGTTGATTCGCTGAGCTGAAGAATTGTCAATATGTTAAACAATAGATTAGAGCGGAGCATGCAAGGAAACCACCAAACATGCTGCAATCAGGGACTATCACATACAACCAGTAACAATATTCTCGAAACAGACATCAAAGGCAGCGTCGGCATGTGATGTAAAGACGGTCCTTGATTCTCCGACAACGTCCTTGGGCCGACCGTACTCGTTGCCAACGGCATCTCGAATCTAAAGCCATATCAGTTCTGCTTTGTAACTCATATGCATCTGTGCGCAACGTACGTAGAGATTCACCACCATACCATCGCCCTTGTAACCATCGACAGTCGCTGTTACCACGACGAGTGTATCCTTTCCGACAAAGTTGCGCACGCAGCGTTCCCTCTTCGAGCTCTCTGCTTGTGCGATCAGGTCGAACTTCAGAGCGCTGGCAGCGCTGGCAAGCAGCAGGACGCTGCAGATATACTGCAACAATGTCTTTTGGACAGCCATTGTCGGTCGAACGTTCTGTAACAAAAGTTGGTCTCCCTCTCCAATAATCGTATTATATCGTATCGTGGATGGTAGGTCGGAGAGGAAAGGCTACGTAGAGTAGTTCTTTAAGACAGACAAGGGGCTTCGACATGAACTTGGGTCTAACTGAAAGGTGTCCCAGTTGAGCTGTGCCCCACATGCGGGAGAGAGGCCCCCTAAGTTTAACTTGTGACCAATTATATGAACTTTGGCACTTGCCTTGTCGCCTCCATCACGTGTGGGTCCAGCCTCGTCAACTTTCAGGGCGTTTTCGCGCCTGAACATCACAGTCTAAACATAAACTGGCACTATCATCTACTGATATCTCAAAAAGAGTGATCGCGCAAGTTTTCAAGATGCCCAAGTGTAAGCCTACCTTCTAATCAATCACTTATCTCTAAGAGAAAACTCTCGCTAACTCAATATTACAGTCTTCTGTGAGCCCCGTCCCTGGTGCGCCCGAATCGATAAAGACCCCTCCGACTGACCTCTTGCTCCCAGGCGATTATTGCGATGTCTACCTCACGCATGATTCCATGAGCGTGCGCAAGGCTCATAACAGTGGTCGAAACCATCTACGAAATGTAGTTGATTATTACCAACGTGTGTTCAACCTAGAGGCTATATTATAGTCATGGAACTGACACCCTTTGCAGAAATCGGCCACGAGAAGGCTCAATCCGTTATCGACTCCATCACCTCTTCTTATGCTGCCGAAGGCCAGGCCCACGCGAACCCTATGCTTCCTCAAAACCAACCTGGACAGGGCTTTCCTCCCCCTCCCTTCGCCTTCCCAGGCGGTAAGAATCAAGATACCGTGATAATTAGACACCAGGAGCACTTACACATGATAGGTATCCCTCCTCCGCCTTTCCCAGGAATGCCAGGTGCACCTCCTGGACAGTTTCCTCAAGGACTACCTCGTAAGCACCTCTTTTTTCCTAAAGGAAGAAATCATTTCTGACAGAATCCAGCCCCTCCCGGCGGTGGTCGAGGCATGCCCCCCATGCCCCCATTCCCTGGGCCCAATGGCATGCCTGTTCCTCCTAACGGTCTTCCATTCCCTCCTCCTCCAGGCGGCTTTCCGTTCCCTCCTCCAGGTGCCCCAGGAGGACCTGGTGCTTCCGGCGGTGCCCCTCCTCCTTTCCCTGGCATGCCTGGTATGCCTCCGCCCGGCCAAGGATTTCCACCTGGCGGTGTTCCCCCACCCGGATTTGCCCCTCCCGGAGCAGGCGCTCATGGACATGAGAAGCGATGAGTGTCATTTCTGTGGCAAGGACGAGATTTGGGCTGATTTTACCCATAGCATTATTGGCGAATTAGGCGTTAGAGACAAGAACTGGGAAAATGGAAAGTATTGCCAGTCTGAGATACTGCGAGGAAAACGTTTTGTTTAATAAGAGGTGGGCTACTCGAGCGCGAAATGAGCATTGAACGTCTCACAATTTAGGCTTATTATGGATAGTTCCAGGGCTACATGGTTCTGTTACTGCCGCACTAGTCTGACAACTATGGTGTATATATACTGTATTCATGTGTGTGTGTGCGTGTGTGTGTGCGTGTGCGTACGGGTAATTATCATACATGAGAGCCACTCTCTTTAATGTGAAAGCATCCTCCAACTAGCCTCCCATATAGAATATCTTCAAAATCAAATCTCGAATAGCAAATCATAAGCAACATCATTTTCATAACCCTCCATCATTCGTGTCGTAAAGCGTGAATCATCAGTCATGAACCTTTTGTCTTATATCTCCTGTACCGAACAGTGGAAATCGTTTACCTCTCTCGGTAGACCAAGAACACGATCTGCGCCAGTAAACCTAATCAGTAGCTCAGCGTGATGGCGTCCTATCGAAGGACTGGTAATGATCGCGAGCTGTGCTCGATCTGATGACTTCTCCAACCCCATCACGAACTTCCTTTGGCCCGCTTATCTTCTTGCGGAGCTCTTGTGATCGCTTCTCACGCCGCCTCTCGCTGAATTTGCGCGGGAGGTTCTGCAACTCCTCTAATCTGCTTCCCAGGGAAAGCCTTCTCTTTTCCTTGTTAGCTCGCCTCTGGATGTTATTGGCTCGCCAGAATGATCTCTTGACTTCACCATCCGCCGAATGTGGCCTCTCATCGTCGTTGTAGTCTCGTCGTAGAGATTCGAGACTAGACCGATGTCTCATAACTCGGAGGTTACCACTTGGAGTTCGCCCAATTGTGCGACGCTCAGTAGTGGGCCAATCATAGCTGGTGTAGTAGGAACCATCACGAGGCGGGAGGACGGCAAATGTGCGCTTCATCCTGGAACTGAAGCTTCTCTGAGGTCCTTTCGGTCGGTTGTCTACCAGAGGATATCGGTAGGTTTGATCACCCAGTTCATCCGACCAATGAAGATCACAGTCATCGTCACAGTACCCATCGCACTCGTCTGAGTCCTCACTAGACCAATGAGGACGCCAAAAAGGGTGCAACTTGTCTTCTTCTACTGGACTGTCGTCGGAGCTAGGATACGCCGGCTCACGTTCCATAGTGGGCATTCCTCTGATCCTCCCAGTACGTGAAAGGGACAAAGTGCGCGACAAGAAGCTCGAAGGTCTTCGGGTTGACGGTGTATAATCAACCGAGTGGCGTCGTGTACGGTTGAAAGCACGGCGTACCACAGAAGGACGGCGAGGGGGCTTTTCGTTCATTGACTCGAAGTAGTTGCCCATTTGAGCCATTTTCTCGTGAGCTGGAGTCGTTCCTGATGGGGTGGCAGGGATGAAGTTGATAACTGGTGGGTGATTGGGTGGCTCGGGAGGCGCTCGGGGATTCCGAAGAGGAGAGTCAACATCGTCGAGAGAAAATTTTGGCTGGGGAGGTGTGGCGGGAATGTCCTCTGAGGAGTCAGTCGGCATTGGCACATCCAAGACTTCCTCCGCCTCTGATTGAGTCTCATCTGGCGACTCAGAGGGTTTCGTCGAGTGATCTACCATCAATAGGGATGAGTTCTGATGAGGGTACATTTGGACTGCGAGTGCTTCTGATACCACTGGATTGGTCCCATTTGTGTCGACAGAAGCCAACGAGAATGGAGTGTTTTGCGAGCCATATCCCTTTGCGTTCAAAAAGTCGTCGTGGCGTTCAGAACTTGACCGACGGTGACTTTCTGACGCATTGGAAATCGTTCGTGCCCCTGGCGTCTCTTCTGAGAAGCGAAGGTCGGGCACTCTGGGTGTATCCTTCTTCTTGTTGAGGTATTCTTGTAAGGCGTTGTGGAGCTTCATACTCTCGGTTGTCAGGGAACTGGCTCTTGAACCGTTACGGCTGGTAGGAGCAGATAGAGAAGACGAGCGAGCAGGCACGATAGGTGGGTAATCCATGGTTCTCTCATCAGAGCTTTCGGACATGGAGTAGGAACGACCTCGCAATTGACGCCGTACAATGGGAGGCTCATCTTTCGTTGATGATCTATCATTCAGTGTGGGGCTGGCGCTGGTGGTGCGGCTCGACTTTCGGCTAGAGTGCGACCTCAGTGACGGCTCTCTGGACTTGGTTTTGTGCGATGACAGCCGACTAGGGACAACCACCACAGGTATGCCCCCTGCTTTCCAAACTTCGCGTCGAGCCCTGCTGCTCGAGATAGAATTAAGTGTCGCGTTTGAAGACTGACTCTCTGACTTCGGAGCACTTGGACGGTTTCGACCGCGTGGATCAGTATGCGATCTGTCCGACTTTGGGGAATTTGCGGTTGAGGTGGAGGATGCATTGGTCGGATCTCTCAGAATGGTCTGTTTTCGCACATGACGCAGTGTCCTCTGCCTCTTGGGGGCTGTGTCCAAAAGATAAGCCTCCACAACAGTTGAGACAGTGGATTTGGTAGAGATAGCCGACATCCTGCGTGGGTCAGAAGTTGCGATTGTACTCGATGTAGCTGAGGGGGGGACATCACGGCTCGAAGTGCCTCTCGAGAGTGTCTCCGTTGTCTGGTGTAAAGGCATGCCGCGCACAGCTTTAGCTGCTTGTGTCGGTATGATTATGTTGGGCTCGACGACTCTCGCCTTATTTGGGCTTAAACGGGTCATGTTAAGTGCTTCAGGTCGCTTCTTGACAGTTACCAGTCTTTGCAAATTGTGGTCCCATTCCTGTTCTACCTCGCTCACGGAGCCCCAGTCGCTGTCGTTGTGACCCCAATCCCCTACTAGTGACCTGGACGTACTGCTCCCTTCTGAGGGAGGTGCCAGGTTGCCCAAAGCCAAACCAAGGGTTTCAGACCTGGCAATACGAGAACTTGGGTCTGGGATGTTGCGTAAAGCTGGTCGTGAGTTCTGATTGATAACAGGCTTGTCTTCATCTTCGGATGATAAAGGCTCTTCTCGCGCAGTGGTAAAGGAACCAGATTGGGATTCACCAGCAGTAGTACTTGAACCAGCACGGTCAATGATAACGGGTCTTAATAATTGCGGGCGACTTGTGGAATGAGGCGGTGTCACATCGGGCGTAGGCGGAATCTTCTGATTAGGAGGCGTGGTGGGTGGACGCAGATACGATGGCTGGGGAGTTCGTAAGGCGACATCGGTTGCAGCTGGACTATTTGTCTTGCCAGAGGAGTTCTCCGAGGGCTGGCGCGAATGTCTCGGCGGAGTTGGTGGTAGATCTGGACCACTACTTATCCTTCGCGACTGATGTTTAAGAGTTCGTGGGCTCGATGGATGGTTGCCATTGCCAGAAACAGAAGTGTTGATAGCCAGCTCATGCCTAGTCAAAGGACTAGAAATTCGAATTGGCAAGGAGGAGATCCTTTCGGAGCGAGGTCGTGGAAGAACCTTGTGCTTTTTGAATTGTAATTGACTGGTTGGGCTGGTCTCATATTGTGCTTGGGGCGGATAATCGGCGGGAGATGCCATCATGACTGGCGATGGGATAGAGTGTGCTGATAGCATGGCTTTGATTAGATAGAAGCTTTCTAAAACTTTTGACTCGCGGCAACGATGTTGGAACGGTTTGGT